GGTATTTTTTTATCACGTTTCATTTTTGTTGTAGTTGTTTGTTTGTTTTCTTGATTCTTTATGATGTTTGACACTTCAGTTGTTGTAATTTGTAACGAGTTATTTAAGAGAGTTTCTTCTTCCATTTCACACAAAATTTCATCAACAGTCTCTTCATCTGAGCTTATGTCATCTTTGTGAGCAAATTCTCTCTTACTTTGTGAGTTTGAAGCAGTAATTATTTTGCGTCTCTTTAACTGATTTTTAGTTGTTTGTTTTGCTTTAGTTTCCATTTCAATAATTTGTTTCTTCAATTTTTTGTTTTCTTCAACTTGCTCAAAAAGTAAGGCATTCAGTTTTTGAATCTCTTCAATAAGCTTATGAACTTTCTCTTCTAACAAATGAGTGTTAGTGGGGTGACTGTTTGCTACCTGCTGTTGTGTTTTGTTTTCGCTTTCAACTTCTTTTCCGTTAGAATTTAGATCAATGTTATGAGAAGTTATGTATGTTTTATTGTACAAAAGCAAAATTTCTTCTGAAACAATAATTTCAATTGTAACAGTTGACATTTTTTTATATGAAAAAATATATTTGAGAGTATTTTTGCCTGTTCCATTAATTTCGATTATAGTTCCTTTAGGAATACAAAGTAATGTTTTAAAAAACTCTGTCTGGCAGTCAGTTTTTAAGAGTTGAATACATAGTTCAGGATCCATATGCAAACTTCTCAAGTTATAGCAGAACTTTTGAAACATATCCGAATTCAGAATGTTTTGTTTTATTTTGACTTTATCAACGAGATTTTTAAATTGTCTCGTAAGACGTTCACCATCGCTGGTGTCACTCATTTTGGAGTAATCAAATGAATTACGCGCTGAAATACGTCCGAACACTTCGCTTGTTAAACGAAAACTGAACGTCTGTATATGAAATGCCTAAAGTGTCGGTATGGACCAACAAAGTAATCTACTAACAGGTTTCCATCTACGCGTTTCATCCGGTAACCAACCGGACTCATCAGAATGGACTATTAAAATTAATCATTACCATCAGTATGTAATGTTATAAATATCCGTCAATATGTATTATAGTATTGTAGATTCTATAACTTATTTTATGATATGATAAATAGGTATAATAAATAAATGAATGGGTATATAATAAATGAATAAATTAATAAATTAATATATATATAAAGCTCTTCAATTATATACTGAAGATCCTTATATAATATGAGTAATATGAATAAATTTCAAATTAAATGAAGGCTAAAAACACCTTAAAAAACGTGGGGGTGTACACGATACATTCCTTCAAAATCAAAATACGGTATTCTTCAATATCCAAATCATTGTAGATTAAGTACATGAACTATTTAAATTTACTTTTAAACCATTTAAATTTATTTAGAGGTTGAAATTAGATTTGTGTTTTGATTTGGATTTGGGAGGTCACAGGATCTCGACGCCAGGTGCCCCTCTCGCTCGACACCTACCGCCGGTACTGGGGATCCGACTCCCTGCACCGTAACTTCAAAATTTTCTGTTGACATTAGTTATACAAAAACGCCTCCTCCCTGTAAGGTTTCTTTAAAAGTCTGCCACCCTACGCACAAAAAGACTCGGACTCGACCGCCCCTGACATGGAGAAAAACAGACGTCGTTGTGTGCCGCCCCTACTTTGGGGAAAACAGACGCACACAGGCAGGTTTTAGTTGGTTGCTCATCAGCCGGCTTGTCTAACATGGGAAGCCCTATCAGGGGTTAGCATACTATTGTGTGGCTACCCCCGTTAATGAAGCCCGACGAATCACTGCAGCCCTAAGCCCCCACACCACGACAAGGTACCCACCAAGTGGGGGTATTAAGTCCTTTACTTTTTTCCTTTCCAGAAATAGTCATTCGCTCATAACATGACTTTGGGTGGTGAAATTTGTATTCTGTGACCATAGTTCGTATTTTCCGCTGCATTGTTTTTATTTCAGTCGTTGCCCATTTGAAATAGCAAAGATATTGATTGTTTTTATTAAAAATTTTCCTTGCAGATTTGCCTTGGTTATCTTATGAATATGTCCCTTAAGTTCACTATATATTCAACGATTTTTCCACGAACAATGCTGATTTTTTTACATTTTTCAATGTCTTACTTCATTCCAATGTCATTACTAAAGTCCTCGACTATTTAATAAGGTTATCTAAGGTTTCTCGCGTCGAAGCATATATCTTTAAAGCATCCATATACAGGATATGATTTGTTCTACATTCCCGAGAATTACTTTTAATTTAGCCATAGCTTAGCTGCTTGCTCCAATATTATTTGGTCAATTATAAGTTGTTCTTTACATTCTTTTGTTTTTTACATCCGTTCTACGCACATAATATCGTTTTGTGTAAGGTATGTATTAATAAGGTTGCTAATACAAGCAGTCAAGTAATTTATATTATACCGCAAATATCCCGATTTTAAAAAATTACGCACTATACATACACTTGACTCACTATTTCACTTGAAAGAACAGGAATGCCCGTTGGTTTACATTTACAATTATGTATGGCAGAAATGTTCTAATGTAAATTTCTGTCTTTACAAACTGAATCAGCCATCTGTAGTTATTTAATTTATTCATTTTTAAGATATTTACATTTAACTTCAATTTGTTAATATAGTCAGTAAGTTCTTGAACTTTGTACGAAGGGGATAATTTATTAATAAGATGTAATAAAGGTTTTTCACTTACTGGTGTGAATGTATAAAAATGTATAAATGTGAAATGTGAATGTATAAAATTTTTTTGGTTACTATCAAGGATTTTACTATATTGTAATCTTCTATCGTACCGGCATTAATATGGGTCACGTTCTTATTGACTATATTAAATTTTATTCCTGAGGCACTGTGAATTGGTGCGTAAGTTAACATTTTTCTCTGGCTGAAATATTTGGTGATTTTCCAGAATTGATTAGAGACATCTTCTAGGGTTTTCAGGAACTCTTCCCATTGTGTGTTACGATAAAGATTGAGTTTTTTTTATTATGTTTGTTACTCTATGCGCTTTCATTTTATTTGCTAGACTCCCTGTTTTTTGCGCTCTGCTTCTAAGTTTGTTCTTCCTTTGCATTAGCTTCTTAATGTCGATAGGCAGATTAAAATAATTGCGGATATTGATATCTTTTTTGGTTGTACATTGGATGACTTGTTCTATTCTGGTATTCCAGTAGTTTGGCCAGAATGTGGTTGATGTCTATGCTTACTGCTTCAGGCTTTTGCTCTTTTTTCTTCGCCATAATTATTTCTTTGTCTTGCCGCACTATTTCTTGTTTCTATCACAATAATTAAAAACACTTGTAATATTTACTTGTTTCTATCAATTTTTAATTGTTTTTTAACTTTTTGAAGTTAAGGTTAGGTATACTTTATAAGTAAGGTATTTACTATAAAATACGTGTTTTCAGCACGATTGTTGAAATTAAAGTCTTTATTTCTTATTTCATTATACAAAAATAATACATTAGTTTTGAAAAACATGCTACTTTACCGTTTCTATAAATTTAGAGTAAACAAGTAGCAACAATTTAAAGGACGATGAGTTGATCATGCCATCAAACCGTTTCTCCAAATTTATAGAAGCAGTTTATAATTATTGCTTAAAGGCAAGGGCGGATTAATACGATTATGTTACTTATATACATTTATTGTCTCTATCAATGATTTTTTATATTATTACCTGCGTTAGTCACTTTGTTTGTTTGTTCACAATTTTATTATTTCACTTATTCACTTTTACCTTTTTTATAATTTTTTTATTATGTAGTCCTTTAAACCACTGACGGTCGGGTCGTCGTCGGTCGTTCACAACGATAAATGCACATTGTATGTGTTTTGTCACTGTTTTTAAGGATATGTTTAAGGGATAAGTTGTTTTAGGGTTTGAAAGATTCGTGCGTCATAATCTGATTCATAGAATTCTTTCTGCTTAAATGCAATAGACAAATTTATCGATTGCTGACAGAAGATTTTCTGTCGTATAGCAGTTTACAATACCAAAATTCGATTCTGTCTATCAGCAATAGAAGCTTTTCTACAATCTATTAGCAATAGACATCCCATATTAACATTCATCAGTATTATGGCCAAGGTTCGTATTTGCTCACTCATGAGCAGCTCAGGCTCATGAGCAAGAGCCAATTCTTATGTGAGTCCAAAATTGGCTCATATTAAAGAGCTGCTCACCAGCGTGAGCCTTCAAGTTGCTCATATTGAAGAGCTGCTCATGAGGTCTCACGAGCCGAGAGTTCACGACCTCATCTGTTTAATAAAAAGCGATTTGTTAGTTATATGTGAAAATACATAATTTGAAATTAAGTTAGCTTATTATTATTTATATTTAAACAATATAATGAAACAATAATTTGAATTTGAAAAACAAATTTATAAAATATTATTATCAGAAATATTTAAGCACATATTTTTGGAGTTAAGCTCTTGAAAATTTAATTTAGTTATTAGTAAGTTGTTTATTGTACTATTACTTAATCTAGATCTTAATTTAGTTAAAACTAGAGAAAGTGCGCTAAAAGCTCCTTCCACCGATACTTGTGTAGCTGGAACAGCTAATGTAACTGCTGCAACTTTTTTAATCTCCTTATAATTGTTTGACGTTTTCCAATAGCTTAAAATGTCAGTATCAAGAGGAACACCTTTTTGGCTGGCAAGTGCTATGAGCTTTTGTTTAAAGGTGCGATTTGTTTCGGTGTTAGCTGTTATATTTGCCATCACTCGCTACTGCAATTTTGAATAAGGTGCTGCAGAAGTAGTAGGAAACTCAAACATCATATCAGATGAGATATTTGGAGAATCTGGTTCATTTCCTACTTTCCGTAAGTCCTCCAATTTTGTTAACCTTTCAAAAGTTGCTGTGAGATACGCCTATGAAAAATATAAGATATTAAATTAAAATTTGTTTAATGAACAATAATTTTCAAAAATACAATAATTTTTATAAATATAAATATAAGTATATTTGCACCACAGCTGTTGATTTTTGATTTTCAGACAGCATAGTTGAATTTTCAAAATTAAAACGGGGATCAAGATAAAGCGCGACTTGGAATGCATCACTATCCATAAATATTTGTTTCCTTTTTTGCATTGATTCATGTAAATGTGATGCGTATGGTGTTTTTGTTACTAATTCCTCTAACTCTATCTCGCCACATAACCAATCTCTATAAAAATCACCAATTACGTACTGCTCTATTTGCATATGTTTAGTACAAATAGCCAATGGGGTAAAGGCAGTTACAAAATTTACAACGAAATCCCAAGATATATCTGGAATTTCAGACTTTTCAAAATATATAGTGCTTCTATTATCTCTCTCATTTTAAGTAAATTATTCAACATCTCATATGTCGAGTTCCAGCGTGTTGTATTATCTAAAATGGGCATCTGTATATGAATGTCGCCTGCCCTAACAGCTTTTCGTAATTGCTTTACAGCATCTCTGCATTCACTAATTTGTAGTTCACGCAGCGCATCTCACAACAGATAATACCGATGCTAGTATTGCGTGAATATTTTCATCATTATTGCTGCACTCCTCTTGATTAAAGTCCTCGTTTATATGCTCTTCTTGTATGTCTTGGAGTATTTCACTAACTTTCACCATATTTGCTCCATTATCTGTTGTACTGGAATAAATTTGGCAACACTTACCTATAGTGTTGATATATATTTTAAAGTCCTTTATATACTGAATATTTATTCCAAGAATATTTTTATCCATCCGAGTTGCAATGTCTAATTTAAGCGATAACATTTTATTTGTTAATCTCGCCTTAATTATCTCCTGTATTTTTATGCAAGAATTATCAAGCAATGATACAATATTTCTTGAATTCAAATTCGAGCCAAACTTTCTTTCATACGGTTTTAATAACAATTTAAAAAAATCTTCATCATCGAAAATTCTAAAAGGCAAGTTTTTGGAAGTCACTAATCCCACACAACAGTAAATTTTATTTATATTCACAAAAATGTTTTATCATGAAAAAAATGTGTTTTATCTTAAAACACATAAAGAAAGACTTCTTATTATTCGAATTAATGTTATAAAAAAATAAATAAAAATGAAATAAATGTAATCAAAAAGTTCTTTATTTATTTAATTTTATGTATATTTTTGTTAAATATATATATATTTAAATACAATCTTTTCCATTTATTTGATTGATAAAATATTACACAAATGTACTTGAATAAATTTTTCTGCAATAATAAAATTTAAAAAAATTGAAATAGTGTAAGAAATATAAAAAATATTTAGTTCATTTTTAAAAAATTACTTAAAAAAATTTAAATCAAAAAAATGTTAATTTTTTTTTTATTAAAAAAAATTACTTTTTTATAAGTTTTTTTTTAAAAAAATAGCTAATATTAAAGATGAAAGAATTTTAAAAAGTCTCCCTTAAAGACAACTATTCACAACAAATAATTTTCACATTGTATAATATGATATAATTAATATTATATTAAAATAATAATATAATATAATAAAAATATAATTAAATTTAAAGATTATAAACAAAATATTTTTTTTTTGTTTTTACAGATGTCGCATTAGGTATTAATATTTTGTTAATATAAAGAGATTTTTATTTGTTAACTAAGACAATTGTTTTTTATACAATATAATGAATTGTTATATATCAATTGTATTATATGGAATATTCAATATATTCCAATATATTGCCTATAATATAAGAAACACATTGTATTTTAAATATTGATTGAACGGGACTAGTTAAGTTTTTATATATATTAGTTTCAGAACAAACGTAAGGTTGTATGTTTTTATTATTAAAGTGTTTAAAAATGTATCCTAAATATTAAATATTTAATCAAATAGTGTGTTTTTTTTTAATATTTAATATATTTACAAAAATCGAATGTTAAATTGATTTATTACTATTTAGAAAATGAATATATTGTGTAAATATTATAAATAAAATTGTATAAAATAAAACTTATTATTGAACTGTTTATATATTTCTTTTAATAAAGTTGATTTATTTATTTTCAAAATAGTAAAATGCCACAAATATTATAAACAAAACTTGCACAAGTAAGCACTTTCGTATTCTTTAACTAAATTGCGTTTAGTTTTTATTAGTAATGTTCTTTAATAATTTTTCTTTAGTTCTTAATATAATTTAATTTTCAGTACCATTCAATACTACATAATTATTTCAAAATTTTTATGATGTATAAAACCTATTTCGTCCAATGTTGTGGTTTTAGCAGCTTCAGTTTATAAAAATAGTTCTCTAGGTGTAAGAAGAGGCAGATCTTTAATGTATAGGCTGAAGATATTTTATGAATCATAATCCGAAAATCTCAGAAGCTAAAGACTCGATTTTCCATTTTACCCTTTGTAGCTTCTTGTTTTGATGATTTAAGGTTATGATGATATATCTATATTCCATCAAAAAAGAGCATCATCTATCAATATCCTTTCTAAAATGTTTTTGATTTTGAAATAGTGTCTATTTGCGCAAAATTTAACAAACTATTGCTCACTACGTCTAATGCAATCGGCAATTGACAATCTTTCAAAATCACATCCTGTATTTTACCACTGATTTCTGGGTTCGGTTCGATGTAGTTTTTGGATCGCCCTTCAGGCTTTACGATCAAACTATTGCTTTTATGGAATATATTCACCCAATACATTTACCAACTCGGTAGGAATTTTTATTATATTTAATTATTATAAATAAAGCATAAATTTATTAATCAAAACAACACAAATCTACGTTTAAACGGATTATAATTCGTCATTTCCGGGATTAATTTGTATACTAAATTGTGAATATTATCTGATTTAGCTAATAGTACATAGAGATTTATATATAGATATTGCTTTGAGCCGTTACAATAATTATCTTTCGACTCATTTTCTAGTATCTAGTAAGGAACTTTTGTCTTAATTATCTCCGAGGCTCTTAAATTACTTCTATTAATCATCATAGAATCCTTCCTCTATTTTGCAATTTTGTAGATTTTATATTTTTAGGTGCATATTTATTTTTTATGAAAGTAGTTCAAAAAAAAAATTGTATATTATGTATATTAATGCTACGTCACTGTTAAGTTCTTTAGTATAAAATAAATCAAAAATAAATCAATAGGCCACTTGAACCTGTTAAGGTTGAAGCGATCAAATGTTTAGAAATATTCGTTATAATAATTTCTATACAGTAGTAGCGGTGAAACACTTACTGAAGGTAAAATTCCGTAAATTCGCATTATGAAATGCTATATACCGCTATAGCCAATATCTATATGCATGTGTCAGTATTTTTTGGCGAAGAGTTAGTTATAAATAAAGCTTTTAATTTTCTTGTTATATAAAATTTTTTGATTTGCTTGCAAAGTCGAGTTTAATACTAGATTTTAAAGTAGAAAAGTTAATACTATTTTCAAGGACATAGGAGTTACTAGTAATCTTGTTATTTGGTACCATCAAAGAAAATAGAGTATCTAATTATAAATGATCTACTAATGTAGATTTATAACTTGAACTTAGAAGAATTTCAGTGGAATATATTGTAACTAACATGGCTGCCATCTGGAAAGAGAATAAATGTGGCACATTTTATATATGTTCGTAAAGGCTTCAGTGCAAAAATAAAGTCCAAATTGAATTCCAGCTGTTGTAGCAGCATCCAATAACTATTTGAAAGAGTTGGAGAGACATAAAAACGGATTGAAAGATTACTGTATAACAATTAACAGTATTAAATGGTATATTTGGACCTATAATCATATTTTTAACCCTTCTGTAATAAACGTCTGTATATTTCAGGAATGAATGTGTAAAA